GATGGTGATAGCATTATGTAAAATATAAATGACTTGTATTTTTTCTAATAGAATGAGTTACATCTTATGTGAGTTGTAGATTCAAGTAGTGATTTGTTAATTACAAAAAATATACACATAAAAGTGTAAATGATTTTTAAGCAGTGAAGGAAACGAAACTAAGGGTTTCCATTTTGAAAATGTTACAGCCAGAATAGCAAGCTTTTTGAACACATAATTTTAACAAGATTGGACTCATTGAGATAACTATTGGGAAAGGAAACTATAGTTTGTTTGGTTAGAAGACATAGGGAAATAGAGAAAATGACTTGAGAAGTAAACACAGAAAATAAATTATATGGAAGGTTGACAAAAAGGAAAGAGAAATGAGTATTGAGCGTATGAGAGAAAATGTAAGTAAAATGGGCAAGACAGAAAAGAACTTAAGAGATTGGTACAGGATCAAATGATTTTGAAGATGGGCTACATAGAAAAGGACACAAGAAAGAGTAGAGTAGAAAAAGCCCAACATATGTAGCAAGTTGTATACTTGTAATCAGTAGCGGAACTAATTTAGAGAGGACCGCTCTAGTGCAAGAGTAGCGAAAAGGTAGATTCCCATCTGTAGCACAACTTCAATAATGCTTTGCCAGCTGATGATCTACCATTTGCCCATCCTGGCATGTCTTTATTTGTGAGCAGTGTTTGTGGGATTGAATGTTAGCATGTTTTTGTATAGTGCATACGTGTATATGTAGGGATGTATTTGTATATACTGTTGCCAGTGGAATACAATGATGTACTTGTGTGTAGTGTTTACGTTTGAATGCAGAGGTTTTTTTATATGAAGTGTTGGATTTTAAATGCAGGTGTGCTTTTGTGCATAGTGTTGGCGTTTGAATGAACAGATGTTTGTATATAATGTTTGTATATCGCTTAAGTGTTTTAACCCCTTAGTGACCAGATCGTTTTTCAATTTTCTTACCGTTAAGGAACAGGGCTGTTTTTACATTTCTGTGGTGCTTGTGTTTAGCAGTAATTTTCCTCTTAGTCATTTACTGTACCCACACATATTATATACAGTTTTTCTCACCATTCAATGGTCTTTCTAAAGATACCATTATATTCATCATATCATATAATTTACTATAAAAAATATAAAATATGATGAAAATTTTTTAAAAACACACTTTTTCCAACTTTGACCACCAAAATCTGTTACGCATCTACAACCGCCAAAAAACACCCATTGTAATTAGTTTCTAAATTTTGTCCTGATTTTAAAAATACCCAATGTTAATATGTTCTTAGCTTTGTTTTTTCAAGTTATAGGGCAATAAGTACAAGTAGCACTTTGCTATTTCCAAACCATTTTTTTTCAAAATTAACATTGCAACACTGATAACTGTCAGGAATCCCTGAATAACCTTTCACATGTATATATTTTTTAAAAGAAGACAACCTAAGGTATTAAACTTGGGGTATTTAGACTCTTTTCATGCAACCATTTTACCACCAAACTATGCCCCAAAAATTTTTTGGGACACACATGGCAATTTAAGAATAAATGTACTGAGAATGTTAAGGATTACTGCCAAAGAACACCCCAATATGTGTTCAGCAACATCTTCTGAGTACAGTGATACCACCCATGTGTAGGTGTGTAGTGTTCATATATGTACCATATATTTTTGAAAAGTAGACACCCTATGGTATTTCAAATGGTGGTAGTTTAACACTTTCCATGCACTAATTCTGCCACCAATCTTTGTCAAACTTTTGGGTAGTCATTTTTTTGTGTTATTTTTCTCTCACATTGTACTTTAGGCATGGATTCTCAGTTCCTGTTATGTGTTACTGACAATGAACACAACAATATGTGTTCAGCAACATCTTCTGAGTACAACAGTACCCCCAATGTACATGTGTTATAGGTTTTTGCAAACTTACAGGGGTCAAATGTTGGGCTTTCCCCTTTTTCATGTTTGCACATTGAAATTTGCCAGATTGGTTTGCTGGGCCTATGTTGTCTTTGAGACCGTATGGCAGCCCAGGAATAAAAATTAACCCATTCTTTTTTAGCAGCCACTTAGTCACAAACCCTGGCCAAAATTAGCGTTTATATTTGTTTTTTGCATTTTTCACACATAAACTGCCATTTCACCGATGATATCATAAGTATAATACATTTTACTGGTCTAAAACACTCATATTTGTGTATATATAACAGTGCCCCTCAAGTACAGGTTTTATGGTGATTTGAAAAGTTACAGGGTCAAACATAAGATTTGTCAAATTCTGTTTTTGTAAGTTGATATTTGCCAGATAGGCTATGTTGCCTTTGAGACAGCATGGCAGCCCAGAAATGAAAATTAACCCCTCCATGAAATACCATTTGAAAAAATAGACAACCCAGGGTATTCAAAATGAGGTATGCCCATTCTTTAGTAGTAACTACTTAGCCACAAACGTTTCCAAAGTTAGCGTTCATATTTGTTTTTTGCATTTTTGTACACAAAAACTGCACTTTTACTGGTGATTTCATCGTTGTGATAAGTCTTCCTGTTTTAAACACTGATATTTGTGTTCAGCGAAGTCTCCCGAGTATAACAATGCCCCTCATGTACAGGTTTTATGGTGTTTTGGAAAGTCACAGGCAGTGGCGTACACATGACCCATGGGGCCCCGGTGCGAAAATTGATCCGTGGTCCCCCTCCCCCACCCGCGTGCGCGCGGGTAGGGCAGCAACACATGGCGGTGGGCACCTGGTCGCAGTGCATGCAGATGCACACACACTTAAAGGACCACTACAGACACCCAGATCACATCAGCTCAATGAAGTTGTCTGGGTGTCAGGTCCCTCTAGTTTTAACCCTGCAGCTGAAAACATAGCAGTTTCAGAGAAACTGCTATGTTTCACTGAGGGTTAATCCAGCCTCTAGTGGCTGTCTCACTGACAGCCGCTAGAGGAGCACACTGAACGTCCATAGGAAAGCATTGAGTAATGCTTTCCTATGGGCGGTTTGAATGCGTGCGCGGTCGCATTCGGAGCTGAGAGGCTGAGGGACCCCCAGCGCCAAGGGAGTCAGGCGCTGGAGAAAGGTAAGGGCTGAAGACACACACACACTCTCACTTACAGACGCATACACACTAGCTAACAGACACACACATTTACTGACAGAGACACACTCAGCGACAAACATACATACACACTCATTGACATACACTCTCATTGACAAACACACTCACTAACAGACATCAAACAGACTCACTAAGACACACACAGTAACACACTCACTGACACTCACTAGCAGACACACACTAACACTCACTCTAACACTAACACTCACACACTCTAACACTCACTCTAACACTAACACTCACACACTCTAACACTAACACTCACACTAACACTCACACACTCTAACACTCACTCTAACACTAACACTCACACACTCTAACACTCACACTAACACTCACACACTCTAACACTCACTCTAACACTAACACTCACACACTCTAACACTAACACTCACACTAACACTCACACACTCTAACACTCACTCTAACACTAACACTCAGACACTCTAACACTAACACTCACACTAACACTCACACACTAACACTCACACACTCTAACACTAACACTCACACTAACACTCACACTAACACTCACACACTCTAACACTCACTCTAACACTAATACACTCTAACACTAACACTCACTCTAACACTAACACTCACTCTAACACTCACACTAACACTCACACTCTAACACTAACACTGACACTCACTGTAACACTCACTCTAACACTAACACTCACACACACTCTAACACTCACACTAACACACACTCTAACACTCACACTAACACATGTTTTTTTTAAATGTAATCCTCCCAGCCTCCTTACCTTTTGGATTCCCTGGGGTCCAGTGGTGCTGCTGGGCTCCTGGGCGGGTGGCTGGTCAGGCATGCGCGCGCGCGAGGGAGCACTCAGTGCTTCCTCTTCAGCTCCCTCGCGCGCCGCGTAGGGATGCTGGAAGATGATGTCATCTTCCGGCTCCGGTATCAGTGCGGTGCGCGAGGGAGCTGGAGAGGAAGCACTGAGTGCTCCCTCGCGCGCCCGCCTGCCGTGTGACAGCAGGGTCAGCCTCGGGGGGCCCTGAGGAGGCCGCCTCATGGGCCCCCCAGGGGAAGAGGCTGGCCCAGTGGGTATACACCGGGTCGCAGGGGCGGCCGGGCCCCCTGGTGGGCCGGGCCCGGTCGCAGCCGCGACCCCTGTGACCCTGGTATGTACGCCACTGGTCACAGGTCCAATAAAGGGCATGCCAAATTCAGATTGCCAGATTGGTTTGCTGGGTCTCTGTTGCCTTTTGAGACCATCTGGTAGCCCAGGAATGTGAATTAACCTCATCATGACATACCACTTTGGAAAGTTACAGGGCTAAATATAGGGATTGACAATTAAATTCTCTGGACTGTCTGCCTGGGTTGTCAAGCAGGTCTCTCAAATTATACTTAATAAAATCAAATAATTATGTAGTTAATAGTTTAATATATATGTAGAATGTGCCCCTGAGGGGCAAAAAACATATTGCATACTTGAAGGACTTACTAATTTTAATGAATAACTTAAATAAATAAAGAACTTTTTATCCTAATTTCATTGTTTTTATATATTTGCGCACTTTATGGTTAAACAAAGCACTTACAGTAATTATTAAGTTGGCGACTACTATCAATGAACTGAAACCACAGCATTATATGGAAGAGGGAGTGGGACCCTACTAAATCCCACCACACTGATATTTTGAGCAAAGATCACTGGCTCTTGACTTGTGAGTGAAAATACATATATCAATCTCATCCTTTTATTCAGACAATATTGCGCTAATGTCTGTTTTTCTTTTTCTTTTAATTATAGGATTATACTCCATAAAGATTCAAGTGTTAAGAAAACATATGTAGGATACTCCAGAACTACCTCAAGTTCATTTTTGTAAGGGAGCCTTTTGAGAGGCTTGTGTCAGCCTACAGGAACAAGTTTACTCGTACCCATAACACTGCCTTTCACAAACATTACGGGACAAAGATTGTAGAGCGACAATGCAGGAATCCCTCTCTGGAAGCATTGGAGAGGGGCGACGATGTCACCTTTGAAGAGTTTGTTTACTACCTAGTGGACCCCATGACTCAGAGAGAGGAGCCATTTAATGAGCACTGGGAGAGGGTACATTCTCTGTGTCATCCCTGGATTGTTCACTATGATGTGGTAGGGAAGTATGAGACTCTAGAAGAAGATGCACAATATGTGTTGCAACTCATTGGTGTTGGAGATTCCATAAAATTTCTATTGTCCAAATCTCCATGGACCACAGGTGGCATGGCTACTGGGTTTTTTAGGGGCGTGAATCGCTTTTATCAAAGGCGGCTCTTTAACTTGTACAAGATGGACTTCCTGCTCTTTAATTACAGTATTCCAAATTACCTGCAGATACGCTGAACCCTATTTTGTGTGTGTAGGGCCCGGTGCCTTTATTAACACTTTCATAATTTACATGGGCTGGAAAATGGAGCCTCTCCAACATTCTTATATCGTATGCTGTTATTTATTGTTGAGCACACTTCCCCCGACCCCCACCCCTTACTTTGAACATGACTTCTAGTTTCTACACATTGGCTATGAAATCAGATTTAAAAAAATATATATATTTAGTCTACCTCAATACAAAAAAAAGCAGCCTGATCCTCCTTCTCCTACAGAGCGCTGCAATTGTGGAACGACCTCCCGCACACTTTAAAATCTTTCCCAAGCCTAAAGTCCTTTAAGAGATCCCTTTCTACATACCTCAAAACAGAATGTACGTGTCATGGTTGATTATATATTTCCTACCTGTTCTATGTTAAATTTTGTATATATTGTGTATTAACCCCATCAGGACCGAGGACGGTTCAGGACCGTCATCGACATTTTTGCGTTGCCGACCGGTGACGGTCCTGAACCATCCTAACGGTCCAATGTACTTACCCGATCGCCGTCATTCCCCTGGCGGCGATTGGTGTTGCTCCCGTTGTGGGGAGACTGCCTGCAGCCCAGACAGTCTACCCATGGCGGATTAGGACCCCTTGGGCCATGTAACCGCTCAACAGAGCGATCACATGGTCACAATAGGTGTCCATGTGTATGCCTGCAGGGGGACTGCCTGTGCTGACAGGCAGTCTCCCTGCTAGTGTAAAATCATAAAAAAAATGTAAGTTAAAGTAAATAAAAAAATTAATAAAATTAAATATGTGTATATATATATATATATATATGCTATATAGACATATATTATATACATATAATATATGTCTATGTACATATATTAATATACATATATTAATATAAAAATACACTTATAATTAAATTACACACATATATATATAATACATATAATAACTATATATATTGTATATAAATATTATTATAAAATACAAATAATAAGTAATTTAAATTAAATAAAAACATGTAAAAATAATAATAAAAATGTAAAAAATGTAAAACAAATTTATATACCTATATGAAATTTTATTCTAACTGTATTTTGATAGTAATATACATATATTTATATCAAAATACACTTAGAATGAAATTGTATATATATCTATGTATATATAAATAAATAAAAATAATACGAAATATACATATGTCCCTATACAAAATTACATAAATAATTATATAAATATATAGACTTCAAATATTTAAATATGCATATATATTTAAATTCTACGTGCGTATTTATTTAATATTTTTACATAATTAGGTAATTTTATTGATTGCAATTTGAGGGACCTGCCTGCCAACCCAGGTCGAAAGTCCAGAGAATTTAATTTGCTAGCACTATATTTTACCCTGTAACTTTCTATGACACCCTAAAACCTGTACATAGGGGGTACTGTTTTACTCGGGAGACTTCGCTGAACACAAATATTAGTGATTCAAAACAGTAAAACATATCACAGCGATGATATTGTCAGTGAAAGTTACTTTTTTTGCATTTGTCACACACAAACAGCACTTTTACTGATGATATAACTGTTGTGATACGTTTTCCTGTTTTGAAACACTAATATTTGTGTCTCCCGAGTATAACAGTACCCCCCATGTACAGGTTTTATAGCGTTTTTGAAAGTTACAGGGTCAAATATATGGGTCAAATATTTTTACATTGAAAAAGGCCAGGTTGGTTACGTTGCCTTTGAGAGCGTATGGTAGCCCAGGAATGAGAATTACCCCCATGATGGCATACCATTTGCAAAAGAAGACAACCCAAAGTATTGCAAATGGGGTATGTCCAGTCTTTTTTAGTAGCCACTTAGTCACAAACACTGGCCAAAATTAGCGTTCAATTTAGTTTTTTACTTTTTTCACACACAAACAAATATGAATGTTAACTTTGGCCAGTGTTTTCGACTAAGTGGCTACTAAAAAAGACTGGACATACCCCATATTGAATACCCTGGGTTGTCTACTTTAAAAAAAAATGTACATGTGGGGTGTTATTCAGAGATTTATGACAGATAATAGTGTTACAGTGTCACTATTGATACATTTTAAAAATGTATGTTTGGAAACCTCAATATCCTACTTTTACCTATAGCCCTATAACATGCAAAAAAGCATGTAAACACTGGGTATTTTTAAACTCAGGACAAAATGTTTTTCATTCGCTTTTGTAGATGAGTAAAAGATTTTTCAAATAAAAGTAAAAAAACTTATTTTTTTCAATTTTTCATCATATTTTTTTATTTTTTTTTAAATTAAATTACATGAGATTATATAAATAATGGTATGTAAAGAAAGCCCCCTTTGTCCTGAAAAAAACAATATATAATTTGTATGGGAACAGTAAATGAGAGAGCGGAAAATTACAGCTAAACACACCACAAAAGTGTAAAAATATGCCTGGTCGCAAATGTACAACATCGGAAAAACAGTCCAGTCCTTAAGGGGTTAATATTGTTTTTTGTATTTTATTGCACCCTATTGTATCAATGCAATGTTTTGTGGACCCAGGGCATACTTGAAACCGAGAGAAATCTCAATGTATCTTTCCTGGTAAAATATTTTATAAATTAATAAATAATACTCCACCTTGTGTTTATTTGCATTTTGTGTTTGTTGGTGTGGCTTAAGGGGACCCCACTTAGGTGTCAGAGTATCCAAAGATTGTTAGACCCACTGGGATCTTGTATTTTTTATTTGATATATATATATATATATATATATATATATATATACATATAGTAAAAGCACAGAAAAGGCATTCAAAAGGGGAAGAAAATGCAGGTGTAGTGCAGGGCCGGATTAACATAGGGGCTGATGGAGCTGCAGCTCCAGGCCCAGGCCCAGGCCAATGGAATAGGCCCATTGATGTAAAAAAAAAATAAAAAAATATTTTTTTACATTTTTTTTTCCACACACTACTCTTAGGGATTCCACCTGGCTTTTATTTTATTGGCACAGCCAGTATTTGAGGCTGCCTGGCTAGTGCCAATATTGTAGTGATACTGGCAATACAAATGCTGGTATTTTTCTCAGTATAAACAAGAGATTACTATGCAATACCAGCACTGGCCAGTAGAGGTCGCTGTGTGTGGAGACAGGCAGGGATAGGAAATTCCAGCATATCCCTCCCTGCCTATCTATACTCACTGATCTGCAGGGGTACAGCTACAGCGAGTCCAAACAGCCAACAGCTCAGGGATGTAAGGGTTGGGGGGAAAGGCTGCAAGGAGACATACACTGAGGCACTAAGAGACACTGGGAGACATTATGGCAGACACTGAGACACTAAGGGACATTGGGAGACATTATGACACAGACACATGGGGGCACAGTGTCCCCATGTCTCTCAGTGCCCCCATGTCTCCCAGCCAATGTCCCTGGTGTCTCAGTGCCCCCTAGTCTCCCAGTGCCCCCTAGTCTCCCAGTGCCCCCAGTCTGCCAGTGTCTCACTGTCCCCATGTCTTCTAGTGCCTCCATGTCTCCCAGTGCCTCAAGTGTCTCAATGTCCCCATGTGTCCAAGTTAGTGTCCCTAGTGTCTGTGGCCCTGGTGTCTCAGTGTCCCCATGTCTCCCAGTGCCCCCATGTCTCAATGTCCCCATGTCTCCCAGCCAGTGTCTCCAGTATCTGTGTCCCTGGTGTCTATGTCCCCATGTCTTCAAGTGTCCCCTATTTTCCCAGTATCCCCATGTGTCCCAGCCAGTGTCCCCTAGTCTCCCAGTGTCACTGGTGTCTCATGTCCCTAGGTCTCCCCAGGTCTCCCCATCTTCCTAGTGTCCTAGTGACATGGGGACCTTGGGATACATGGGGACATAGACACATGGGAATACTGGAGGACACAGGGAGACATGGGGCTTTGAGACACTGTGATACATAGGGACAATGTGATACATAAAGTCACTGGGAGACCTGGGGACACGACACTAGGGGACACTGGGAGACATGGGGAACTGAGACACTGATACATAGGAACACTGAGACCTGGAGTAATCGACACATGGGGGCACTGGGAGGAATCCATCTATACAGCAGAATCAAACCAAGTAGTTTTTTGGTGATTTTACAGCATTTTCTCTTATGTCACTCCTTGTGATTTACATCATGTGATGTCACCCATACATATTTAATTATACAAATTAGTAAGGCCGGTATGTTTTTCCAAGAAAGGTGGCAACCCTAACTACTTTTCACATACTCTTACTTAAGTATGGAAACTTAAGAGGGATGTATGGGAACAAAACTTGTGTGGACTGGCTGACAATGAATATAGTTAAAGGGACAATATAGTCACCAGAACAACTACAGCTTATTGAATTTGTTCTGGTGAGTAGAATCATTACCGTCAGGCCTTTTGCTGTAAACACTGTCTATTCAGAGAAAATGGAGTGTTTACATTACATCCTAGTGATAACTTCACTGGCCACTCCTTGGTTGTTAGAGATCCTTCCTGGGTTATGGCTGCCTAAAATGCATCCAAACATTCAGTGTCTCCTCCCTCTGCATGCAGACACTGAACTTTCCTCTGAGGCTGAGGGTGGTGGATTGTGGTGAGGCTGAGGGTGGTGGTGAGGCTGAGTGTGGTGGGGAGGCTGAGGGTGGTGGGGAGGCTGAGGGTGGTGGGGTGGTGAGGCTGAGGGTGGTGTGGGGTGGTGAGGCTGAGGGTAGTGTGGGGTGATGAGTGTGGTGGGGTGGTGATGCTGAGGGTGGTGGGGGGGGTGAGGCGGAGGGTGGTGGTGAGGCTGAGTGTGGTGGGGTGGTGAGGAGGTGATGCTGAGGGAGGTGAGAGAGAACCTACCTTTACTCCCTGGTGGTCCAGTGGGGGTGATGCTGAGGGAGGTGAGAGAGAACCTACCTTTATTCCCTGGTGGTCCGGTGGCTATTGCTTCCGGTCTGCAGCTCCGCAGAGCTGCAGACCGTGTAATCTCGTGAGACCATCAGAGCGTTGCCGTGGTAACCCGCGGCAATGCTCTGATTGGCCAGTGTTCACGAGACACATGGTCTGCAGCTCTGCTCACTGCGGTGCTGCAGACCGGTGTCT